GGCTGCTGCTGAACATCGGTTGATAGTTAACTCTGCTTGCTGGAACTGTTTCCTGAAACTGCACTGCTTGAAGTTACCAGGAACCTGCTTTCATCAATCAAACAATTGTTGAACTGTATCGATGATTAATAGACTTGCCCTTAATCAAACCCTGAATGGTTTCTATTGTTAAAACATTATGAATTGATCATTAGTACACGTAGCCCCTCTCCCATTTACTTGCATGTATCCCATTTTCAATAAAAAGGCATGGCGATTACTAGCAGTTGTCACTCCTCAGAGAGCGATCTTAGAGGAGTGTCCGGCTTAGGACGTGCATGAAAAAGCGCGAGGCCTTTGTCTTTCTTTCCCTCCAGCGTCACCTCCATCGAGCAAACCCACCCCCGCCGAGGCTGGTCCCCGGCAAGGGCCAGCCCCATAGAATGTGGTAAAAATCCTGGGCTCAGTGACTTGAAAACCACACCAGGTGCCTGGGTCCATGCATGCCCCAAATCCTGACAGGATAAAAAAATGGAGACAGAATTACAGTGTGAATATGTCCCACTGCTGAGTACTTTTTCTCTCTCCCTCCCTCTCTCTGGCAGCCTATGTGCCTTCTGCAATTAAAAACAAAAATAAGGGGGACCAGAAGGTGGCATGGTGATTAGGGTGCTAGACATTCCCACATGGCTGACCATGGTTCAAGCCCCGGACCTGGTGGCTTGCTTTCTCACTTTCCCTCCTTCTCTGTGTTTCTCTCTGGCCAAATTAAAATAAGTAAATGACTAAATAAACAACTTTTTGAGAGATTTTTGTTACAGAGCATGTGCGCTTGCCAGAAAGACAGAGAGAGACAAAGAGACTGAAAGCAAGAAATCATCCCCCGGGGGGATGGTCATGCCGCAATCCCTTCTCCTCCATTCTCCTCTCGGAATCTTAGGCACACGCACCCGGTGTGAGTTTAAGCAACCGGGTTTGGGACTAGAACTGCAGTCGACTACATGGGAGTCCAGTGACATAGCCATTACACCAACTGCTGGTCCCCTAAATAAAATTTTACTTTTAATTTTAAAAAGGGACCAGCAGATGGTGTAATGGTTACGTTGCTGGACTCCCATATAGGTTCGAGTCCTAGACCTGGCGCCTTAAAACTCATGCCAGACATGTGTGTGTGCATGCCCAAAATCCTGAGAGGAGAATGGTGAAGGGGTTGTGGCATGGCCATCTCCCCTTGGAGGTGATTTCTTGCTTTCTGACTCTCTGTCTCTGTCTTTCCAGCAAGTGCACACACCCTATAGCAGAAAGTCTCTCTAAAAAAATAAAAACAAACAATAGTGATAACCTCAGAACATCAAGTGTAACTGGAAGCAGGAAGAGGGGTTTGGGGTGTGGAATGTTTGATTTTTTTTAGGTGGTTACATTAATATATTCAATTTGTGAAAATTCACTAAGCTATATGTTTATGACACATGCACTCTTATGTGTTTAGAGTATTAGGACTTCAACACAATTTTCTTTTTCTCTTTAAAGACTTTATTTATTATTATTATTTAATTTGCCATAGGGCATGTACAGTCACCCGAGAAAGTGAAAAAGCAAGCCACCAGGTCCAGGACTCAAACCATGGTTGGCACTGTGGGAATCCAGCGCCTTAACCAACATACCACCTGCTGGTCGCAACAACACAACTTTCCAAGTGATAAAGCCAAGATGGTTAAAGAAAGTTTCTTGAATACTGTTTCTTTCTTTTCTTTTCTTTTTTTTTTTTTTGGTTTGTTTTCCTGCTGTTAAAGTGCTATTCTGAGCAACACTAGCACTTTTGTCATTTGGACCATATAGAATCATGCACAAGAATCATCACTGGGTCGGACATGATTTACACTTTTGATCCTGCCACATGGACAAGCAACTTATTCCCCAAGGTCATACTGGAAAACCATAAACTTTGTATATCCTGCTTACCTGTGACCCATATTGACTGAGGCTCTCAAAGCCAACGCGCTTGGCCAGTGAGATGCAGGCGATACGCCGGGGCTGGGTGCATGCCACATGACTGAAGCCAGCGGCCAGCAGGTACTGAGGGACCTGAGTAGACTTGCCGCAGCCTGTATCACCAGCCACCACCACCACCTGGTGCTCTTTCAGTGTCTGCAAGATGCGGTTCCCATACTGGGCTATGGGAAGTGCTGCCCGCTCACGCTGCAGTTTGGCCAGCCGCCCAAAGGCCTGCTTCTGGACAAAGTCTAGGTAGTGTAAGAGGGCCTGGCGGAATTCAGACACTCTCTCCGGGGGCAGGCATCTGCTCAGCCCCCGAGAGCCACGTGTGTCAGGGCCAAGGATGGAGAGGTTGATGCGGTAACGTGGGTCATAAGTGCGAGGTAGGTCAGCCAGTGCTGGGATGCTGTGCTTGGTGTGTCCAGGGTCTTTTTCCTCCTTCCTAGAGGTCTTGAGATTCTGGAATCTCTGCAGGCGTTCAAAGAAGGTCCAGAACTTCTGGCACTCTTCAGACCCCCGACGGATGTAATCCTCCTCACGGAAGAAAGCATCCTCCAGGAGGCGACGTGTCTCCGGACAATTCCAGTCCCATTTCTTTAGGACCTCTTCCTTACTGGGAACTTGGCGGTGATCCCAGTCATCCTTGCCCTCTCTTATTCTGGGAGGAGGCATGTCACTAATCCCAACACTGTCACAAAATCAGCCTCAGTTCTGATCATCCAGACCAAATATTCTCATCCATTCCTCACCTCCAATGATAAGAAACCAGTGCCTGCAGTACAATGAGGAGCCTCTTTCTCTTCCAAGAGCTAATGTTCCTGTTCACTCATGGTACAGGACTACTGCAGATGACAGAGGCCAGGGGCCTGGCTGAACTGGTGATACACGGGACACCTCACAGCTTCTGTAGCGATCTCTAGCATGCGTGTAAGTGCATCCTGGATTTTCATGCGCTGGATGCTTGAGGGAGAGAGAAGACATTCATTTTTAGAAACATTTACTATATTAACCCTGCTGGTTCTCAGGCACTGAACTAGGAAAAGAAGGTAATGAGCAAGACTACCTGAGTTCTCACAGATGGCCACATCATACAAGAGACACACACTTCACCAACTTCACCAGACTGTAACAACCCAGTGACTGGGGCCATGATGCAGGAAGCCCAGGAAGCCCTGGAAGCCCAAAGGAGGTGCCTGCCCATGCTTGGGAGTCAGGAAGAATCCTGGAAGAGGGGCTACTTGACCTGAGACCTAAAAGAGGGATGTAAGTCACATGCCAATCAATAGCAGAACCTCGTAGTGAGAAGTAGTAACATGAGAGGTGTAATACAATGAAAACAAGGCCACGGTTCTTAATCTGGGGTCCACTGAGCTAAAGGACACTGGAACCCTTTGAAATTAAATACAAAATCGTGCAAGAGTTAAATTACAGATACAGGTTTTGATTATGGTGTCTAGCCCTTCCAAATCTCACATGCTTCTGATGACCTGTAAGTCAAAGAACTCCTATTGGTTGGACAAGTGACAAAGGCCTGACCAGTCACAGTGCTCTGGCCTGAGTAGTGGATACATGACTCAAGCAAGGCCAATTAGTGCCCTTCTCTGGTATTGACACTTGGTTACTAGGAAAGCAAGCTCTCAATTTATCTACTGTGGCTAGGAAAATCTGACATAAACCTGGAACTCTTTGTAGAGTAGCCCTGGAACAGGATAGTCTTTCCTAAAAATACATGCCAGATAAAAGTCTGCATATGGCACAACGAGGCACACACAGGAATGGTCACTGTGTAACTATAGGGAGAGGAGAGGTAGGAGAGGTGAGAGAGGGAAATGGGGAGAAGCTTGGCAACACCATTCAGTTCTTGAGGGTTTTAGTTCTCTTCAACTCTCCACAACTAACTACACAATGCCTTTTTGTCTAAAAGTTTGTTTTGACTCTCGGCTGATAAAGTCATAATAAAGAGCATACTTCCTCTAGGTGCAATTTTCTGGAGGGAAGTGCATCAGTCAGATTCTTAAAGGGTTCGTGACCTTAAAAGAATGGAGAGGGACCAGCATAATGGTTATGTCTCTGGACCCCCATGTAGTTGACCCTGGTTCGAGTACTGGACCTGGCAGCTTAAAATACACTAGGTATGTGTGCATGCATGCTCAAAATCATGAGAGAATGGAGAAGGGGTTGTGGCATGGCCATTCCTCCAACAAGCACACACATCCTATAGCAAAAATTGCCCCCCCCCCCAAAATAAGGGGTGGTGGGACCAGCAGTTGGCGTAATGGTTATGTCACTGGACTCCCATGTCCCGGACCTGGTGGCTTAAACTCAAGCCAGGTGCATGTGTGTGCGTGCTCAAGATTCCGAGAGGAGAATGGAGAAGGGATTGTGGCATGGCAATCCCAACTGCGGGGGGGGGTGGTGATTTCTTGCTTTCTGTCTGTCTCTTGTCTTTCTGGCAAGTACATGCGTCCTATAGCAAAACCAAAACAAAAAAGGGTAGAGAGCCTTCCTTGCTAAAGGCTTCTTTTTTTTTTTTTTTTTTTTTTTTTTTAAGAGGTTTTTGCTATAAGGCACGTGCACTCGCCAGAAAAAGAGAAACAGAGAGACAGGAAGCAAGAAATCACTCCCAGGGGGTGGGGACCAGCAGTTAGCATAGTGGCTATGTCGCTGGACTCCCATGTAGTTGACTGTGGTTGGCGTCCCGGACCCGGTGGCTTAAAACTCACCCAGGGTACGTGTGCATGTGTGCCCAAGATCCCAAGAGGAGAATGGAGGAGAAGGGACTGTGGCATGGCCATCCCTCCTGGGGGGGGCGATTTCTCGCTGTCTCTCTGACTCTGTCTGGGGAGCACACGTGCCCTATAGCAAAAACCTCTCAAAAAAAAAAAAAGGAAAGAAATTACTCCCAGGGGCGATGGCCACACTGCAATTCCTTCTCCTCCATTCTCCCCTTGGGATCTTGGGCACACAGGCACATGTGCCCGGTGTGTGTTTAAGCTACCAGGGCCAGGACTCAAACCGCGGTCGACAACATGGGAGTCCAGCGACAGAGCCATTAAGTCAGCTGCTGGTCCCAAAGGCTTTTTTTTTTTTTTTTTTAAAATTATTTTAATTTTGTCATTATTATTATTATTATTATTTTGAAGTTGACCAGAGAGAGAGAAGCAAAGTGAGAAAGCAAGTTGCCAAGTCTGGGACTTGATCCATGGCTAGCTACATGGGAGTTCAGCTGCCCTAACCGCCAGGCCACCTGTAGGCCCTCATTTTGCTAAAAGCTTTTAAGTCTGGCAGATTTGGGTTAAGTATCAGTTTAATCACTTACTGAGTGTGTGACCATCAAGGTAACTTCTTTGGGGTGGTATTCTTCATTTATAAAATGGGTATACAATTTCTATCTCCTAACATTGTAATGTTAAGCCAGCCAGTGACATGATGGTTGAAGCAGCTGGATCCCACATGGCTGACCACACCCAGCAGTCCCTGACCTAGCAGCTTGAGACAAGCCAAGCACATGTGTGCATGTGCCCAAAATCTCAAGAAAAAACAGAAGGGATTGCAGTATAGCCATCTCCCGTGGGAGATGCTTTCTCACTCTCCCTCTTACATTCTGATCCACACACGCACCCTAAAACAGATTAAAAACAACAACAACAAAAAAACATGGGCCCAGCAGGTGGCCGGTTAAGGCGCTGGACTCCCACTTCGGCAGCTTGAAAATCACACAGGTGCATGTGCATGCATGCCCAAAATCCCAAGGGAAGAATGGAGAAAGAATTGTGGTATGGTCATCTTCCCTGGGGGGAGATTTTTTACTCTCTCTAGTAAGTGCACATGCTCTATAGCAAAAATCTCTACAAAGCAAACAAAAACACATCACAATGTTTATCACCCAGCCTGGAAAAGAAAAACTAAATATTAGGTTGTTGGAAAAGTCATGTCATATTTTTCCATGTTTTTCTATGCAAAAATGTGTCATGACTTCCTGACGACCCAACAGTAACGTTTTCCTCTACAGTAGAGAGAACTAACAAAGGGAAAACAGCAAGAGGAATCAGGGCCAATCATCTGGGAAAAATTAGAATGTCTTCACTCTTTTATCCAAGAGCAGAGTTCAGAGATTTGATGTCCACAGTTCCAGGGGAAAGAACTCAGGCCAACCTGGAAGTTACTAGAGTCAGATTAGGGTCTTTTGGGTAAAAACTTGTGAACTGGCACAGCTGTTCCCACAAACATCACTTCTTGGTAAAGACCTAGGCTGGGTGATGCCAAGGCAATTTCAGAAGGAATTCCTGTTCTAAGATTGAAGAGAAGGTCTTGGAGGATGACCGTGATATTGAGTGATTTTCAGAAAGAAAGTCAGAATGGTGAAAAGGAACACCTTCCTCTCAGGTTGTGTATGCCTGGCACAACTGAGAGCATCCCTCTGAGGCTTTCCACTGATCTTCTACCTTCTCTGTAACTGCATCTCCAACCATCTCTTGGTCTCTTCATCTGTCTCTCCAAGCCTTATGGCCTCTAACACGTTTTTGTTTCTGTAGATCTCCTCTCTACCTTCCCATCTTCAGGCCTGTCTTCCCATCTCTTTTATCTGAGTGTTTACTCTGATTCTTTTCCCTCCTCATCCCTCTTCAGTCCTCCACTTTCTTCATCTGCTTTCTCATTTTTATAATAGTCTGGAATCTATTTTTTCCAACCATTTTTGTCTCCCTTCAAGTCACTCTCCACCACTGTCTTCTCATCTCTGATATTTTGTCTCCCAACTGTCTGAAGCTAACACTTACTGCTTACTTATGTCACCATGTGTATTCTAAATCATACATATGAGGGTACTTGAGAAAGTTTGTGGGAAAAGGAATTTGTGCAAAAACTTTGAAATCCAAGCCTCGATTTTTTTCCGGTAACACAAGTTTTCCGTTAATTTCTTCAAAGATCCCTTGTATGGACACACACACACGCTTTATCTTATAGCCCCAAGAAGCTGTTACTGCTCCTTATTTTACTGAACCACAGTGAAGGCAAATTAAGTGGCAGATGAGGAATTTAGAATTCAAATCTAGGGACTGGCGTTAATTTCCTCCTTTCCCCATTTCTCAGCTCGATTCTCCAGCATCTGTCGGGTCTCTCCAGTTCACTGTCTCCACCTTCCCAGCTCCCCCATGAGTCGGTGAACTGGTCCCCATTTCGGCCGCTCTCTGCTCGCGTTCGTGTCCCGCTAAGCTTCCCGGTTGCCTCCCAACTTCCTGGGGGAAACACATGTCTCTCAACCAGCGCTCTGCGGCTCCTCTCGGTGGAACCTACCAGCCTGCCCTCGCTCTCTTTAGTTTTCGGCTTCCCTCCTCTCCTAACCTCCCCATCTCTTGGCCCCTAGGTTTCTCGAAACTTCTTTTCGCGCCTCCATTTCTTTCCATCTCGAGCCTCTCTGAACCCCACGTTCCATTAGGCTGCATCTCTGTCTGCTCCTGCCGTCTGTTCGGCTTCCTCCCAGGCTTCTCCTCATCTCGGGACGTCCCTCGCCCCTGGGGTCCTTTCTAAACTAACTCCAACTCGGAATGCCCAGGTCCAGCTCCGGCCACCACCGCCCCGAGAGCCCGCTCCTCCCCCTCACCTCACTAACAGCCGCGAGGGCCTCAACTTCCGGTCCCAAGCGTCTCCTCTCGCGCCGGAAGTCAGTCCTGCGCCTGCGCACTCTGCCCCACAGCCCGACCCCGCCCCGCCCGGCCGCATACAGAGGAGCCAGTGTCGCGCGGCGGGCCGCCCAAGACCTATTGTGCGCCTGCGCAGAGCACACTCCCGCCCCGCCTTGCTTTGGGCGGAGCCTCGAGGGACTCCACCTTCTAGGGGCGGGGGGGGGGGTTGTGGCGGGTTGTGGGGTGTGCCTCCTGCTGCGCAGGGCGCCAAGTGCACCTCAGGATCGCTTGGACGCCGCGGGTTCTAACCCAACCAGGACGGTGATCAGGTTATTAAGACAGCTCCTGATAACTCTGCTTTTTTATTTTCTCAGTGTTTTGAGGGTATTTTTTTCAATAATTGTTTTATGTAACTTTATTTATTTAATTTGACCAGAGAGGGATAGAGAGAGTGAGAAAGCAAGACGCCATGTCCGGGACTTGACCTGCTGTCTGCCATATGGGAGTCCAGCGCCCTCAACCACCACGCCACCTGGGGTCCCCGTCACTCTGCTTATTAATGTACAACTCACTAATTAGTAATCCAACTTAACCACTAGCTCCCAGTAGAGGCCATCTCTGTCTTGGAAGCCTGTACCCCACAATAACCTGAAGGGCACAGTAAATGCTTGCTGAATGACTGAGAAAAAATGAGCCCTCTTCTGTGTAAATAACACCACCATAGGGAACCCAGAAATTTCAGTGTTTTATTTTTAAAGTGCAGAGTACTCATAAAGCATTTTTCCATAAAGCATTTCCCATTTCCCAAAACTCTTTGCATTAAAAAAGAGAGAGAGATTTTCCAGAAGGATTTTTAAGAAGAAAAAATAAAGTGCATCCTCATTGGTCCTAGATGTGCCAGTTGGCACAGGATTGAACTTTGCTTTCCTCTTCTTAAAAAAAAAGAACTATTTTGTTTAACTTTATTCATTTATTTTATTTTGATCAGAGAGGGACAGAGTGAGAGAGAGAGCGAGGGAAGGTAAGAAGGCGAGTCATCAGGTCCAGGACTCAAACTGCGGTCAGCTATGTGGGAATCCAGCACCCTTAACCACCACATCCCCTGCCACCCCCCAGCCCCCATTTCTGATATAAGAATGATACCTACTTTTCAAGATTGTTGGGGAAAATATGTGAAAGAGTATATGTAGGGTAAGTAGGAAACTTGTTTTACTACTGTGTATATAGGTGCTTAATAAATGTTAGATCTTTTATTTTATTATTGTATCCTTCCTATTGTTATTTTTCCTTGGGATAACGCTGCCCTTGAGAAGGTACAATCTGCAGTTCTGGAGTAGGTTTTGGGTGTTAGGGATACAGCAGTGAACAAAACAAATAAGGTCCCTGCTTCCAAGGAGCTCACATCTCGGAGTGATAGAGACAGACAAAAAACAAAAAAATATTGGTCCAACCTGTGGCGTAGTGTTAAGGCAGCTGGATCCCACATGGCTGGTAGCGCAATTCGAATCCTAGACCAAGCAGCCTGAAAAACACACTAGACACATGTGTGTGCATGCTGAGAAGAGAGAAATGGAGAAGAGACTGCAGTGTGACCATTCCCCACAGGAGGTGCTTTCTCATCTTCCCGCCCCACCCCCACGAGCGCACTTGCCCTGTGGCAAAAATTTTAATAAAGAATGTCAAGCACAACTGTCTGCTGTATGAAGAAAAACAAGGCATGAAAGGAGCATGTGAAATGATGCTTTTTTTTTTAAAGAATTATTTATTTTATTTTATTTTTTATTACTATTATGTTTAATTTGACCAGAGAGAGAAAAGGGGAAAGTGAAAAAGCAAGTTGCCAGGTGTGAGACTTGAACTGCAGTCAGCCACATAGGAGTCCAGCACCCCAACCACCACACCACCTGCCAGCCTTGAACGATGCTACTTTCATTAGCATGATCCGAGAAGACATCTCCCTTAAAGTCTGGGAACAGTGAGATAAAGAGCCAGGGGCTGCCTGAGCTGGGGGAGCATTCAAGGACTGAGACGGGACCAGGGATGGGTTCAGGAATGTCACATAGACTTGAGTGACTGGAGAGGGAGAGGAAGAGTGGGGAATGAGGTGAGAGAAGCGTAGATCACTTGCATTGTTGGGAGGACTTTGGCTTCTAATCTGAGGAAGGACATGAGACATGATCTGACTTAGCTTTTTTTTTTTTTTTTAATATATTTTTCTTTTTTTTTTTTTTTTTTTTTTAAAAGGGGTTTTGGGTGTGGGGGACCTGGCTCACCAGAAAGACAGAGGTAGAGAGACGGAGAGCGAGAAATCAGTCCCTGGAGGGATGGCCACACCACAATCCCTTCTCCTCCATTCTCCTCTTGGGATCTTAGGTACGCACGCACACAAACCCGGCGTGAATTTAAGCCACTGAGTCTGGGACTCGAATTGTGGTCAACTACGTGGGAGTCCAGCACTTATGCCATCTGCTGGGTCCTATAATTTTTTTTTTAAGAGAGATTTTTGCCATAGGACACATGCATTTTGCCAGAGAGACAGAGAAAGACAGAGAGAAGGTGAGAAGTCACTCCCTAGAGGGATGGCCACAACGCAATCCCTTCTCTTCCATTCTCCTCCTGGAATTTTGGGCATGCACATAGACATATCCGGCGTGAGTATTGGGCCACTGGGTCTGGGACTCAAACCGCAGTCAGCCATGTGGGAGTCCAGCACTTTAATCACTACGCCACCTGCTGGCATCCAGCTTAGATTTTTTTTTTTTTTTTAACGAAGGATTTTATTCGTTGATCCGCAAAAAGCAAAATTCAGAAAATAGCAAACTACTGTGGAACAGGTCTATAAGAAAATACTTTTGAGCAGCCTCTCCTCTTCACAAGGCACAATGCCCTTTCATGGACACGTAGTGAGAGAACAGGATGACATGTGGAAGTGCCCGGTGTGAAAGGCACATGGCACCTGCCGCACTCACGTCGTCTGGTACACCTACTGGCAGGCAAGGGAAGCCTTCCCTGCAGCCTCCCCCTCTTGATAGAAATTTTCTGGAAATTCTTTTTAGCAAAATACTTACATATCCCTCCCGCTGCTCTTCCCACTTTAGATATCTAGAAAAGTACAGAATTCAAAAGTTATTTTTTCCAGCTGTGATCAAAACACTGCATACTAAAGAACATCTGGGTTATTCTGGGTGATATCGTTAGCCATTTACAGAAGAATATGAACCTCAAGTTCTGTGGCTCTCCGAAATTGGTGACAAAGTGGGGATTTGGTTAGGATACTTTTAAAAATTTGATAGTCATTCTAGGATGGACTGAAGCTTTTTTGACTATCACTGGAGACTACCTCATTGGTCACAATCCTGATCTAATAAGACGGGAGTCTCAAATATAAATGTATCTCAGAAATGGGACCAGTAGTTAGCGTAATTGCTATGTCGCTGGACTCCCATGTAGTCGACCACGGTTCACGTCCCGGATACAGTGGCTTAAATTCAAGCAGGGCACATGTGTGTGTGTGTCTGTGCCCAAAATCCCAAGAGGAGAATGGAGGAGAAGGGATTGTGCCGTGGCCATCCCCCCGGGGCGTGATTTCTTGCTTTCTGTTTCTCTCTGTCTTTTTCTTTTTTTTAAGAGGTTTTTGCTCTAGGGCATGTGCGTTTGCCAGACAGACAGAGAGAGACAGAGAGACAGAAAGCAAGAAATCGAGAAATAAATTTTTGGTTTATGTCTTCCAGTCTGTAACATTTTGGTTAAGCAGATGAAGACACCATGAATGGAAAACTTCTTTCTAAATCTAGGACTTATTAGCAAGGTATAAAAAAAAAAAATCAAGGAATCCATGAGTTCTGAGTTGCAAAAAGCAGAGATGAATTTTTATCCTTAAGATTCATGTTCTTGAACCTACCAATCCCACTAAGGTATTAGGTCAGGAGATGGCTCTATACCTGGGGTCACAGTATCAAAGAACTTCAGGGACCAGGTGGGTATCACAAAGGAGCAAAGTAGGCAAGATGCATGGTGACTCACAGGATCTTCAGTTGCCTCTCTGGTCTCATATGAGGAGTCAAATATCTGTTTTTGGAGAAAAGCACTCATGCCAATCCTAGCAAGAAGCAGCTTCTGCACTTTAGGACATATGTCTAAAATAGTACTTCAAAATGTGACAAAAGAATTCTCTGATCCAGTTTTAACAAAGGATTTTATTCACGGATCCCCAAAAAGCAAAATTCAGAAAATAGCAAACTACTGCAGGACAGATCTATAATAAAACATTTTTGAGCATCCTCTCCTGTCTTCACAAGGCATGATGCCCTTTCAGGTACACAAGGAGAACAGAATGACATGTGGAAGTGCTCTGTGTGAAGGGCACGTGGCACTTGCACCACTCATATCATCTGGTACACCTACTGGCAGGCAAGGGAAGCCTTTTCTGCAGCCTCTCCCTTTTGATAGAAATTTTCTGTAAATTCTTTATAGCAAAATACTTAAATATCCCGCCCACTGCTCTTCCCACTTTAGATATCTAGAAAAGTACAGAATTAAAGTTTTTTCTTCCAGCTGTGATCAAAACACTCAATACTAAAGAACATCTGGGTTATTCTGGGTGATATCGTTAGCCATTTACAGAAGAATATGAACCTCAAGTTCTGTGGCTCTCCGAAATTGGTGACAAAGTGGGGATTTGGTTAGGATACTTTTAAAAATTTGATAGTCATTCTAGGATGGACTGAAGCTTTTTTGACTATCACTGGAGACTACCTCATTGGTCACAATCCTGATCTAATAAGACGGGAGTCTCAAATATAAATGTATCTCAGAAATGGGACCAGTAGTTAGCGTAATTGCTATGTCGCTGGACTCCCATGTAGTCGACCACGGGTCACGTCCCGGATACAGTGGCCTAAATTCAAGCAAGGAGCATGTGTGTGTATCCCAAGAGGAGAATGGAGGAGAAGGGATTGTGCCGTAGCCATCCCCCCGGGGCGTGATTTCTCGCTTTCTGTCTCTCTCTCTCTGTCTTTTTCTTTTTTTTAAGAGGTTTTTGCTCTAGGGCATGTGCGTTTGCCAGACAGACAGAGAG